GGGCGGCCGCGGTGGGGTGGGGCGCAGGGCGGGGGCGCGGGGCCACCGAGAGCAGATCTACTGCATCGCCCGCCCCTGGAGAAGGCTCCTGCGCGAAATCCAGCTGAGATACCGGTCCGGCCTCTGTGTCCCCACCGGCCCGTTATTCAACTTTCGGTTTGAAGTTTTTCTATACTAGACGATTTTTTTAAAAAAGAAATCAGGTTACAAGGTATCTTGGCATAGAGGTGGGATAAACACTTCTGTGTTCTCCAGGGTGGGAGAATTTAAAGAAAATAAGGCTGGCAAGTGGGTGTTATTTAAGCATTAACGCAGAGCTACGCGTAGTTACAAATGTAAATGCATTTGTGTGCGTTCACATTTATATAAATACATGGATACATTTATATTCAAATAACACCTCTAATATACAAAAATGTATGTGTAGATTTCTATAAATGTTTATGTAAACATGTGGAGCAAGGTACAGGTTTCTATAAACAGGTCTGTGTAAGTGACATGGGTGTTTCTTGTTCATGCCATGTGTGATGGGGGCGGCAGGAGCGAGGCGGGTGGCGGGGATTTTCTTTTTTTTTATGGTAGCAATCATTGCGATATCTATCTTGCCCAGCTCAGAGGCAGGCGATTAGCAGCTCAGAGGAAGGTACAATAAAGCACTATGTGAGCTAAGCATACAAGACAATTTGGAACCTTCTAACCTTCTACCCCACCCCATTCCACCAGGTCCCCAGATCGGAGACACGTGGCCAAGTCACTTGTCTTCCTTGGCTGAAATACTCCCCAGAGCTGCTGCACCATGAAGCTCTCCTGGGAATTGTGCTCATCCCTTCCCGGATTTCAGAAGCACTAACAAGTTGTTCGCATGACCGCCAAAGCCGAAGGCGGAAAATGGTTGTAAAAGACCGGATAGGTACCATCAGGCTCTGCAGCAGACCTTTCAGGCCTGCACAGCAGAGACAGAGAAAAGTCAGAAGTGGGAAGAGTAATGATGTATTATCCACGTGTATGATTTTTTTTTTTTTTCAGTTGGGGAGCTAAAATAATTCTAGGCTCCGCTCAGGTAAATTGGATTAGCAACCCACGGAGGGGTGTTGGGCACTCATTGTTTCTGAAGGTATAAAGGTCAAATGAGGTATTTTGGAGCACGCCTGCCTACTAGGAAAGTGAAGGGAGTGGGGTAAAATATTCAGGAATATACTACTTTGTTCCTTAAAAGAAAATGCCGTGGAAGTTGTCGCTCTGAATCATTGCACACCAAGCAAGTCGGCAGTAAAGCATATTCTACTCAGAGACACTTAAGTCAAAAAGTGTTTATGATACTTCCGAAACCATTTCCTTCCCTATAGAGTTTAAATGAGAGGTTAACAATTGCTTCTGTCATCAGTGAGGTTTTAAAAACAAAACTAAACAAAACCTATATGAGACTTAAATCAGCATGTTGCTTTTAAAGAGGAAGAGAAAGCTGATAGCTGTTGGACGCACCCCAAGAAAGGATGAAAAATGAATGTGGTGATGACATCAAAGATGTCTGGCAGCTTCAGGCTTTCATAATTTGAGAAATGGATACCTTGTCAGTGCACATGATTTTGATAGTCAAGAATCTGACGGGAAGCTTACACTTCTGGATGTTCTATCGTGTCAGTATCACCCACCACAACCCTCCTTTATGTAGGGCATGCGAATTCTGAGGGGCTGCTGAATGCCTTTCCTAAGCAGAACTTTTCCTAAAATTTGGCCCTATTTCTCCCTTTTGAAAGCAAGGCCCGCTGGTTGTTTTTTAGATATGGCTGCCCTCTTGTGGTGGATGTGAGTTGCAACGCTTTTAAGGAAAGAAGTAGCTCAATTAAAGAAGTAGTTTAATTAGTCTGCAAAGGCGGATTTGAGGTACAAAGTACGAGGCTGATATCAAGTACATTTTCCAGGCAACAGCTATAGTCAGGATCGATCAACCTAAATATAGAGAATTCATTTTTTATTTTTTATTTTTGCTAACGGCCACCTTCCACCTGCAATTCAGAATTTGGGGCTAATTGATACTTTGAGGCCACAGGGTCCCTTTGCTTTGAAAGTATCAACTACTGCTCCCCTGGTTGCATCTCTTTTTCAGAGGCTTATTCAGAGGTTTTGAGTCCTGATGCTGAGGTTTATTCTCTCTGGGTTTATCAGGTTTCATGTGTCTGCTGCATAAGTGGTGGGGGTAGGGGTGGGGGGGTATTTAGTCAAGGGGTAGTGGTAGTTGCAAATTCAGATACCTCAGAAAGGACAGACAAACAAGGTAAAAGTGCAAAGACTGCAAGGTAAAGATTCTATATAAAGACAAAGATGGTTGTTGCTATTCCATTCCAATCCTTTCTTGCTAGTTTTTCAAGAGATACCGGAAATCTGTATGTGATTGTGTGTGGACATGACCTAGGATGAAATTAAGTGCTTAAAGAGTCATACTTTGGCAACTTTTCCTTTAGCAGTTCAGCCCAGATAATGTTTAATTTTATTGCATCCTGCAGCTATTAGCATTGTTCCTGGTAGGCCAACCATTATGCAAATTAACACTGAAATAATGATCCTCATGTATTGTAAAGGTCACAGCAGGCATGACATGATCCATCTACCTTGTAATTGTCATTCCACTGAAACCTGTGGCAACTCCCCTGAGAAACCTCTTGGCTTTTAGCATGTGTGTCATTTACTACTAGGTGACACCCAACCCCAGTCCTACTTATTTTGCCTGGGTGAGTTTATTTTACAAGAACCAGGAGCCACAGAGAAGAGGAAAATTTGGTTCATCAAACTTACAACTATTTAGTGCTTGATTAGCTACAGTAGGAAAGATAGATTTGTGTGATTTGTATGCATATGTAGGGCCTATTGGCTAAGAGATACTGTGTTAACTTATCCCCTGAACATTATTTAATTAACACATATAACAATATAGGTGCCTATCTGGCCAGTGACATTAAAAACATTTTGATCTTATGTTGATTAGGTTCTTGAAGAGTTAACCACAATGTTTTTCACATAAACAATCTTCAAATTTTTATTGAGCCATGATGAAACCCATGGCACTGTCACTTAGGTCCCAGTGAATACAAATATACACAATCTCTGCACATAGTTTATTTAGACTTCAGTGGAAGAATGTGACATGTTTACAGGTAAATATAAAAACATATGAAATAAGAACATATGAGATAACTTTAAAAGAAGTGAGAAATGAACTATTGCTGCAGCTTTAACGGAGAGCCATCTAATTTCTGAAATGGGGACTCAGCATTCCAGAGGAATATTTGGGTACATAGGATTTCAGTAAGCTCAGTGGGTATCCTTATGAACAACATCAGCATTCATAGCAGCATACTTTCCATCAACACCATTAATTACTGAGCTGTAGGTACTTGATGCTTTCCATTTGTCGTTGCATTCAATCCCCATGTAAACTTTGCACAGTGGGTGTCATAAACTGTATTTTACAGATAAGGAAACTGAATGGAGAGGTTAAGCCATTTGCCCAAGGTCACACAGCTAGCAAACAGCACAAGCAGTAGTTTATTCTAGAATTCGTGTTTTTGCCTCCTACCACCACCACTACCACACTAGTGCCGTCTCAGTTCCACTCAGCGGGACAAACCTAAGCTAAGACATCAGGTGGGAAAATGCAGGGTGGGCTTCTGAGGAATATGAGAAGTTAGCTCAAATTTGGAGGTTGGTTTGGATAGAGATAAGGCAGTAGTCTTCACAGAGATAAGATCAGTCTATTCTTCAGGCAGGGGCCCTACAAGAAGATGATGGTACCTTCTAGAAGGGCAAGTGAAGGGAGCCTAACAAAGGAATGTTGCAAGAAGTCATGGCAGAGTGGAGGGAGAGTGAAGTACCAGGCCCTACCATGGGAAGGGACAGCAGGCCTCGCTGGCCTTAGGTCCACCCAGCCCAGGAAAAGCAGCTCTGAGGGCCTCAGATGCTGCATCTGGAGAAGAATCATTGGCAGGAGTGGAAGGTGACAGAGAATAAATACCTTGGCCTTTTTCCTCTCCTACTCTCTGAGCATCTGTGAGCAGCTCCATTGGCCTCATTTGATCAGCTAGAGCATTAGTTATCCATTGCTGTGTAGCAGGTTGCCACAGGTTTGGTGACTTAATGCTCATTGATGATTTCTCAGTTCCTATAGGTCAAGAATCCCAGCCTAGCTGAGCTGGGTCTCTCAAGGTCTCATAGGCCGCAGTCAGTAT